TTATTTAAAGGATCATTTTGGCTATTTACTTTTTTTTTTTTTTAAGTAATCTCTATTGCCAAGGTGGGGCTTGAACTCATGACTGTGAGATCAAGAGTCACTCGCTCTATCCCCTGAGTCACCCAGGTGCCCCTATTTTGGCTATTTAATGTGGTGAATGGATTAAAGAAGAGCAAGAAGGGAAACAGTTGCAGTGGTGGCACCCTGGAGAGACAGGTGAGGGCCTAGTCCCCACAAAATCTCTATTAATGTACCCCTACATACACATACACACACGCATTCCACCCTAAGCTTCACCAACAGAGTCAGCTTCATGAACATGCACCATGTTCTGTCACACAGGGTCCTATACTTGGTTTAATGCCCTGTTTGTCACTGTTTTGAAATTCTTTTTTTTTTAAGATTTTATTTATTTATTTGACAAGGAGAGGGAGAGAGCACAAGCAGGGGCAGGAGCTGGCAGAGGGAGAGGGAGAAGCAGGCTCCCCACTGAGCAGAGAGCCTGATGTAGGGCTGGATCCCAGGACCCTGGGATCACGACCTAAGCCGAAGGCTGGCACTTAACCGACTGAGCCACCCAAGCGCCCTGCTGTTTTGAAATTCTTTTTTTTTTTTTTTAAAGATTTTATTTATTTGAGAGAGAGCAAGAGAGTGAGAGAGAGCACAAGTCAGGGAAGGGGTAGAGGGAGAGGGAGAAGCAGACTCCCTGCTGAGCAGGGAGCCCAACGTGGAGCTCCATCCCAGGACTCCGGAGACCATGACTTGAGCCTAAGGCAGATGCTTAACCAACTGAGCCACCTAGGTGCCCTGTTTTGAAATTCTTAATAATTTTTGAATAGAGGGTCCTACGTTTTCATTTTGCACTGGGCTCTACAAATTATGTAGCCAGTCCTGCTCACCAAATAAACATGCAAGCTAAGTAAAAGCAGCCTGCAAACTCTCACAGCACTTACATACACTTATATACTTATACTATAACTGCTAATGTCAGGGGTACTTAATATGTGTGTCAGGATTCAACTATTCATATAATCATGTGTGAAAGCAACTGCAGGAAGACTTCCATCAATCATCTCTGAAGCCTCCTTCCTGTACCCCAAACATACACCCCAGGTAGAAACAGTGTGTTTGCTATACAAATTTAATTTGAAGGGAAGGTTCATAGCTCACTTACTGTCCTTAAGTTTTACCTACATGGAAAGTCTGGAACCACCCGTGAAGCAGGGACATCAGTTAGGAAGTTACTGCAATAGTTAAGGTGGAAAGTGATAGTGGCTCAGATAGTGGGGTGGCAATGGGGGTGGAGAGAAGTATACATATTTGGCAAGTAGGATCAATGAGGCTGAGTGATGAATGTAGGGCTGAGAGAGAGGTATGTGTCAAGGGTAAGGATCATTAAGTTTATTACTTAGACAACTGAATGGATGGAGATATGGCAATGGATCAGGCAATTTTCTAAATGGCCTCCTTTGTTATTGGTTGTAGAGACTATTTGAAGAGGCCCCAACCCCACCCGTGGACGTTTGGTTAAGTCTAACTCTCAGACTGCCTCTCTGAACTGTGGTGGCTAACCACAGGAAGCACTTGAAATGACTGTAGAGATCAACCACTCACTCCACAACAGCCGACTGTAGGAGCAGAGGACTGATAATTCTTGCTCACAAGTAATTGGCCCTTTTTTCTTCTAAAGCATGAATGAAAGGCATCTGCTGTGTACACATCATCGTGTTGCATATTCTTCTTCCCTTCCTGCTCCTGCCAGACATCAGTAAAACAAATCTGGGATTGCTTTACTCCCTCACTCTTTGGTGAAAGGTCATGGTAGTTATCTCAAGGGGATGGTCTGGCCTTCTGCCAACTTCAGTAATCAGCTGCCTTGTCAGGGCTTATCAGTTTCAGCAGACTGGCAACTGTTGGCTGAGAAGCAAAGCACAGCTCCAGTGTATGCTAAATATGTTCACATGTGTATATAAACATATGGTGCCTTTATACATATAGCTGGGACATGTTAAAATCCCTATGCTACAGAACACACATTTGAAATGGAATGGCAGCCCACCTATGACCCAGCAGATGGAATATGCCTTAGAGCACACAGCATTTAATTCTAGGCCTTGAAAGCAACTAAGCTTCGATTAAAAAAAAGTTTAAATAATTTGAACCAACACTTGTTAATAAAATAAAACTCAACACATTTAAAAAGCAAAATGGGACTCCTACGTCATGTACAAAAACTCAAAATGGCCTAAACACAAGAGCTAAAACTATGAAACTCTTAGAAGAAGACAGGAGCAAATTTTTCTGACCTTGGATTTGGCAACGGAATTAGATATGACACCAAAAGCACAGAAAACAAAAGAAAAAACAGATACATTGTATTTCATATGGTATATACATAAAATGGAATATTATTCAGCTATAAAAAGAATGAACTGATACATGCTACAACATAGATGAAACTTGAAAACATTATACTAAATAAAGAACCCACAAAAGGTCACATATTGTATGATTCCATTTATATCAATATCCATAATAGGTAAATCCATAGAGAAAAAGCAAATTGGTGGTTAAGAGGGGCTGGGGGAGGGGAAATGGGAGTGGCTGCTTACGGGGTTTGATCAAAATTGTTTTGGAAATAGAAGTGGTAGTTATACAACATTGTGAATCTACTAAATACCACCCAATTGTACACTTTATTTTTTATTATTATTTTTTTTCAAAATGTTTTATTTATTTGTCAGAGAGAGAGCACAAGCAGAGAGAGCTGCAGGCAGAGGCAGAGGGAGAAGCAGGCTCCCCGCCGAGCAGGGAGCCTGATGCGCGGCTTGATCCCAGGACCCCGGGATCACGACCTGAGCCGAAGGCAGAACACCCAACCGAATGAGCCACCCAGGCGCCCCTATTTTTATTTTTTTTTAAGATTTTATTTATTTACTTAGAGCATGAGCAGGGGCAGAGGGAGAGAAAGGGAGAAGCAGACTCCCTGCAGAGCAGGGAGCCCGATGTGGGGCTCCACCCCAGGACCCCAGGATCATGACCAGAGCTGAAGGCAGACACTTAACCGAGCCACCCAGGCGCCCCCAATTGTACACTTCAATGGGGTTAATTTTATGATATGTAAATTTCACATTATTTTTTTTTAAAGTTTTATTTATTTAAGTAATCTCTATACCCAACATGGGGCTGGAACTCAAGACCTTGAGATCAAGAGTCACATGCTCTTCCAACTGAGCCAGCCAGGTACCCTTTTGCCTTAATTTAAAGAAAAGTAAAATGGGCAAGGTACATGACAGCTGCCTTAAAAATGTCAAAGTCTAACTGAAAGACTGTTTTTTTGTGTTTTTTCTGGGTAGTTCCAGAGAGCAAAATTAAGGGAAGTTACAGGACAACTCTAACATAAATGAGGAAGACCTTTCTAAACAATAGGGCTTTTAAACAGTGGAATGGGCTGCCTCCCAAGGAAGAAAGGTTACTCCTTACTGAAAGTGATCAAGTTGGATGATGAGATCTTCAGGGAAGTTATAGAGAGGATTCTTACATGAGGCGTGACTGAGGCTTTTTTTGGTTTAATTATTTTCAAGATTAATCTGTTATCTTCCCTCTGCCGCTGTAACTAGGCTGATTCAGTTTGACAACAGGCAATTTGCAAACAAATTCTTAGAGTTAAGGTATTTCTTCCTGGGAATTTCAGTTCTTCTAGTGTAGCCCAGCCCTCTCACTTTGTAGATGAAGATAGCATGGCACAGAAAGAGGAAATAATCAATTAAACTTTCAGAAATTGAAACTCCAACCCTCTGGACTCCCAGTTCAGAGTTCAAGCTATTGCAACTTCCTGTTGGTAGCTGGGGGGAAATTGTACAATCACCCATTAAAAATATTTAAGCACCTACTGTACACCAGACACTGGTCAGAGCTCTTAGATATAAATGGTAAGGGTGAAGTCCTCAATTAATGAGTAGCGATAAGCAACTACGAGGATGATCAGATTTGCAAACCACGGACATTCCCAAAACTTCAGTCTACCACCTGTAACTTATCCTACTACTAAAACTTCCTCAGATACTAACAATTGACAAAACAAAGTCATCTGGGTGTCTCACCAGCCAAATTCGAAATGATCAATACGAGCAGCAAACAAGAAAGTGACCTAGATAATTCCTAGATTGGATGAGACCCACTAATTCATTTTATTGTGTGCTGGAGTAGGGAAGTTGGAAGTCACCACATGCTCTGGCTACAAGAACCCTGGGACCGCTGCAAGGAGAGAAAGGAGAGGAGAGAAGGGAAGGTCTCCCTTGGGAGAGAGACAAAGCCTCCTCCCTCCTACTCCGTCGGATCCGACCAGTTTAGGAGGATCCCGTGGATGCCGCGTTCTTCGGTGGAATCCAGCCACCCCTACTTCGAGCACTCCGGGGAAGCCCAGGCCAACCGTCCCCAGCCCACCCAGCACTGAAGCACGAAGCGCCTCAAGATTGCGCAAAAGCCTCTCCCTCCCCCCGCCTGCTCGGTGGCATGTTCCTAAAATTCCCATCTGCACAACATAAACAGGAAACGTGCAGCAAAAGCCCTGGCAGTGCAAATTCCACGCTCCAGTCGAGGGCGGGAGAATCTCGTCTTTGGCAGGGGAGTGGAGGGGGGAGGGGAAGAAGCAAACTTCCCAGGAGACCCCTCAATCATCCCTGTCTCTTCTTCCCAGATCCAGAAAGAAAGAATAGAGAAGGCGGAAGGAAGGAGTCCCCGCTTTCGAAAAAATAGGGGAGGGGGAGGGGGAGGTGGGCCACGAAGGAGCAGCCAGGCTTCAAAGTGAACCGCCTGGAGCGGCCGCGGTGGCGGGAATACCCCTGGCCGCCTACTCCGCAAATCCAGCGGTCAGAGCTGCCCTAGTTGCCGCGGGGTGGGCTCACCGCCCGCCTGGGGTTCCCGAGTCAGCGCGGGTGGGGGCGGGGGAGGAGCGGGCACTCCGCGAGGCGCAGGCGCAGAGTGCGCCTCGGTTGTCAAACATGGCTGAAGTGCCGCCGCTGCCGCTACTGCTGCTGCAGGGAAAATGCTGAGCCCTCCCGGGCCGGGTGGGCGGCGGCGGCGAGGGCGGCTACGGGCACCTGCTTACCGGGCGCGGCGGCGGCGGCCATGGCCCGGCTGGCTGACTACTTCATCGTGGTAGGCTACGACCACGAGAAGCCAGGTAAGGGTGTGGGGCGGGCGCCGCCCCCAGGCCTCCCCGCCCCCGTCCCCCCAACACCCTCCCCCGGCTGCTGTCCAGTGGGCTCTGCGGGGCTGGGCGTCGCAGCCGGGAGGCGGGGAGGGCCGGGCCCGGCGGCGGCGGCGGCGGAGCTGGCGGTCGGTGTCCGGCCTTCTTGGCGGGGCTGAGCCTCGCGGGGGGCGTGAGGGACCGGCACGAGGGGAGGGGGAGGGGAGAAGAAAGGGAGGAGGCAGCGTCCGCAGGGGCCCAGGGAGGCCCAGCTGGGGCAGCTGGGCCAGCTGGGGGCAAGTCTGGGTGTCGCGACCCTCGCCCTGGAGGAGGCCGGGTACCAGGGGCAGCGCCCTGGTGCCGGAGGGATTGGGCCAGGACTGCAGGGCTGGGAGGGCGGGAACCAACTGTGTTAAGTTCCTCGGGGATAAACTTCTGCCCTGCATCCTGAGTGAGTAACGAGTGACGCAGGGGGCTGTCCTCTCCAAAAGGAAATGCTGAGAGAGTCCACTGCTACCTCACCCCTGCGTTGTTGGGGCCTGTCTAGTGACCGCCCCAGTGAACGCGTGGTACCGGGGAGGGGGAGAGGATCCTTGCACTTTTAAACATTTCTAGTAAATGCTCCCTGTACTGATATGACAGTCATTTCAGAGAGTCTGAACACTATCTTTTAAGGACAGTCAGCCGACCGCTTTAAGTCTTGTTTCACGTTAATTAAAAATTTTTTTGGATTAAAAAGGTTTTTTTGAGTATAGTTGACATGTGTGTTTTACTTATTCTTAGAATTCATCACAAAACTCTTCATAAGGAACAATTTGGCAAATGCATTGTATTTCAGTTTCATCATGGATTTCTGCAACTTAAGAAAATTCGGGGTTCATGCCCGTTTGTTTTTGTATTTGCACTTCTTTGTATTACTGTATAGCTAAGCGTAGTGTAATAAATTGAACTGGGGAACACAAGTATTTCAGGGTAATTCCAGTTGCACATTTGCAAGGAATTTTAGATAGCGGCAGACAGTCCCTTCATCTTTGAGGAGACGCTGAGATTGTGCTTTGCTGACGCTACAAATGGTTAGAGCCATTTGTAGCGTCAGAATGTCATTGTTCTACCCACTCCTGGTCAACTGCCCCTTTCAGTATTACTCTTCTAATAACTTCCTTTAGTGAGAACGTTTTATATTTTTAAATCTTTCGCTATTCACAACCTGATTGAGGTCAATTGTTAAGAGAAGGGGTTGGGCTGTATTTAAAAAAGTGTCTTCTGGCTCCAACATTTTATTTCCTAGTAATTTTGCATAGTCTGGTGTCTCTTACCAATATGAAGAATCACAGTTTTTTAAAAAATATTTCATTTTTACCAACATCTTTTTTTTCCCTCACTTTAAACTGAAACAATCACATACTTGCAGAAAACTTGCAAGTAAGGTACAAAGAACTTTTTTTCTCTGAACCGTTTGAGAGGAAGCTGCTGACCTGATGCCCTATCACACCAGAATGCTTTAGTGTGCATTTTTTAGAAACAAGGATATTCTCCTACATAATCACAATACAATTAGCAAAATCAGGAAATTTGTCCATTTAGTTATCAGACTGTTTCAAGCTTTGTTGATTTTGCCGTTAATCTTTCTGCTGGCAAAAAGAATTATATGTTGCTTTTACTTGTCATGTCTCTTTAGTCTTCTTCATTCTGGAACAGTTCCTCCATCTTCTCTTGACTTTCATAACCTTGACACTTATGAAGACTACAGGGCAATTATTTTGTAGAATGCCCCTCGATTTGGGATTATCTGTTCGCTTATGATTAGATACATACAGGTTATGTACTTGGGTAGAAATATCACAAAGGTGATGCTCATTGCAGTCTATCAGGTGGTACACAATTTCAATTTATCTCATTGGTGATTTTCACTTTGATTACTTACTTGATATAAGCAATGCCTGCCAGGTTTCCTTATTATAAAGTTAATATGTAATTGTTAATACATAGTTTTGTGTGGAGTACTTTGAAACTATGTAAATATCTTGTTCCTCATCTAACTTTTAATGTATTCCTGTATTCCTATCTGTATGAATGTTTTTTAGTGGATTATATTCTGTTACTATTTATTTTGATGTTTAGATTGTTCCTCATTTGGGCAATGAGAGCCCATTCAGGCTGGCTTTTGTATCCTTATGACATGTCCCCATCATTCTTTTACTTTTTGGCACAGATTTATCCTGTTAGTCCTGCAGTTGGTATTTCTCTGGGGAGCCCTGGATCCTTTTAGTGGAGAATGACATTTTGAAGCTACAATCTCAGTGCTAGTATGTTTGTTGCTGTTGGGTTGTTAATGCTCCCAGACCCTCTTAATGGATGAAGCTGGGGAATACTTATTTGTTCAAATCTTAACTGTATTTAACCAGACTTTCATATTTGCTGCCACCCCCTCCTCTCCTGGATGCCTTTTTTCTCTGCTGATTCTTCGTTCTATCCCTCCCACTCCACTACTCTCAGGAGCTAATAGCCCATACCAGGATGTCCTAATTCAGGGAAACCTTCATCCTGCTCTGACTCTGACTCCTCATGTTAGCATCCCCACTGTTTGTGGATATATTTCTCACCCCGCTTAGGCTCTGATACCCCACATTGGGCTACTTTCATGTGAAGACATCCTCTTCACTCTGTTCACACCTAGTGCCCCATGCAAGGTTGCCCCTCTGTGTTGACACCCTCCTTCCAGTGCTTGGGCTGAGCACATGTATTCTTCCCACATGGACTCCTTCCTTAGTTCACTTGGGCTCTGACAATCCCCACCCCACCCAGGGCTAATATGACTACTCACCATCCCACAGGAGGGAAAGGTAAGATTATTTTATTATTTTTATTATTATTATTTTTTGGTGGGGGCAGAGGGAGAGGGAGAGAGAGAGAGAGAATCCTAAGCAGGCTCATGCCCAGCGCTGGGGCTGGATGCAGGGCTTGATCTCACAATGCTGAGATCATGACCAGAGCTGAAATCAAGAGTTGGACATCTAACTGACTGAGCCACAGGTGACCTATTTTTTATTTTTTTAGTGAACTCTATGCCACACACGGAGCTCCAACTCACAACCCTGAGATCCAAGAGTTGCTCTACTGACTGAGCCTGCTAGGCACCCCAGGGAAGATTTTTTTTTTAAGTAACAAAATCTGGAAGCTTTTATAAATTGTACAATCTGGATAATAAAATGTATGATTTTATTATAATTTTTTTTACTTGGGATCATTTTTCTTTAGTCACGTTTATTGAAGTATAATTTACGTGTAATAAATTCACCTTTTTAACTGAATAGCTCAAAGAGTTTTGACAGGTGTATACATAAATGTAGCCACTACCACAATCAAGGTATAGATATAGAACATTTCTGTTCCTACAGAATGCTCTCTTGGGACACCTGGGTGGCTCAGTCGGTTAAGCCGTTAGGTGTCTGACTTGGGCTCAGGTCATGATCTCAGGATCTTGGGATAGAGCTGGCTTCAGGCTCTGCACTCAGCAGACTCCTGCTTGTCCCTCTTCTTCTCCCTCTGCCCGTCCCCTCCCCTACCCCTCCCCTGCCAATTGTGCTTTCTCTGTCTCTCTCAAATAAATAAAATCTCTTACAAAAAAAAAAGTTCTCTCTGCCCCTGTGAAGTCAGTTCCCTCCCTAGCCTCTGGCAATCACTGATCTGTTTTCTGTCCTTTTGTTTTTGTCTTTTTTAGAATGTCATCTAAGTGGAATTATATAGTTTTCTGTGGCTGGCTTTTTTTCTACTTTGAAAAATATGTTTGAGATTTATCCATCTTGTATGTATTGTCAGTTATTCCTTTTTGTTGCTGAATATAGTACAATTTATTTATCAATTCACCAGTTGGTGGAAATTTGAGGTTCAGTTTTCAGCTATTATGAACAAAGTTATTCTGGGCATTTGCATACAGATCTTTGAGTGTTCATATGTTTCATTTCTGTTGGGTAAATACATGGGAGAAAAATTGCTGGGTCATATGATAAGTGTCTGTTTAACTTGCTGTGAAACTGCCGAACTATTTTCCAAACTGGCTGTGCCATTTTGCATACTTACTGGCAATGTATAAAGGTTCCAGTTAATCTTTTTATTTTATTTATTTTTATTACTTAAAATTAAAAAAACCACTTTTAGCCATTCTAGTGGATATGTAGTGGTATCTCATTGTGGTTTCAATTTGCATTTTCCTGGTTGCTAATGATGTTAGTCACCTTTTCATGTACTTACTGCATTTGAATATTTTTTGTAAAGTCTCAGATCAAATTTTTGTTTTTTTCTATTTGATTGTTTAGCTTCTGATTACTAAGGTTTTTTTTTTTTTAATTTCAAATACAGGGGTGCCTGGGTGGCTCTATTAGTTAAGCATCCGACTCTTTTTTTAAGATTGATTGATTTGAGAGAAAGAGAGAGAGTGCAGAGGGGCAGAGGGAGAGGGAGAAGCAGACTCCCTGCTGAGTGGGCTTGATCCCATGACCCTGAGATCATGCCCTGAGTGGAAACTAAGAGTTGACCCAGGCGCCCCAAGCATGAGACTCTTGATCTCAGCTCGGGTGTGAGTTCAAGCCCCGTATTGGACTCCACGCTGGGTATGGAGCCTACTTTAAAGATAGATAGATAGATAGATTGATTTCAGATGCAAGTCTTTATCAGGTATTTTGCAAATAACTTCTTTCAGTCTGTGGTTTGCCTTTTCGTTTTCTTAACAGTGTCTTTTGAAGAGCAGATGTTTTAATTTGGGATAACTTTTTAGACATTTGAATACTTTTATATCTTGAATTGTATCCTTTGAGTAGTCCTTTTTATGTAAAGCCCTCTGTAAAAACTTATTGGAAGAAAATCCATTAAATTTGTGTACTTTGAATTGTAAGTGAAGAATAAACCTAGTTGATTCTGTAAATCTTTATTATAAAGCTTTCTTTGGAAGTTAGTATGATTTTATTACCTAAATCTCTTTAAAGCTATTCAGATTA